AAACATTTTTTTCTCAAGCTGAGAGAAAAATGTACTAAATTTTAATAAATATTTGTTTAAATAATGCCAGTTAAATATTTACTAAATGTAAACATATATGTATTTATTTGGTGCAAGAATTAATTCGATTTATCTATTATATTATATAATATTTTTTTTAGCAAATATTTATTATTTTTCGTAAATAAATGTTATATTAGTATTATTCAAATAATTCTTTATTAAAATTTAGTACATTTTTCTCTCAATGTAGTATATACAAATCCACATTGAATTATTTAAGTATTAAAGATCTTGCTTCAACCGTTGGGCTTTTATCTTATTTTTTATTGATTAAATAATTTTAATTGATCATATTATTTTCCCAAGATTTTGTTTTCTGAAATTTTGCGTGTTCTGGGGAGGCATCCTTAATTAAGCATGATGTATAATTGCGAAAATGTGATTGTAAATGTGAGCATAGTTGTAAAGCCCGATTTACAATTGCATAAACGTAGTTGTAATTATAAGAATTGATCAATCACACTTGTGAAGATGAGGAGAATATCCGATTATAATTGGTGAATTATTACGACCACTTACAACTACGCCATTGTAGATCAGGCTTGAGAATTCTAAAATCACGGAGAAATTTTAAGCCTGATCTACAACTGCTTAAACGTAGTCGAATAATTTCCTCATATATTTGACTGTGATTGGTTAATTCTTACAACTGCAACCACTTACAATTACGCTTACGCAATTGTAGAATGGATTTTATAGCTCTTGCACACAGAACACCAGTAGCCAATCAATTTACCGTTTATCCATAAAGCAAAAATATGATTAGTTGATGATTGCGCCAACTTCCACAGCGCGTTGCTACGTCCTGTGTGCGGGAGCCATTACGGAATCGGAATACTAATCCTGCCTTCCCCTTCCACGTCGAGCGCGTTATTTTAAATTTCGAAGCAACCGTTCTACAAAATTTCATCACTTACCGAGCTCGGCATAACATAGGGCTCCGATAAGCGACAGGATCCCGGAAAAAATCCAGACAATGAGAGCCTGGCCGACGCTGCCACTGTTCCTAAGCACGCCTTTGGGCGACACGAAGATACCGGCGCCGACGATGATACCGACGATGATCGCCACGCCATTCCACAAACCCAATTCCTTTTTCAATTTGATACCTTCATCGCTGTTGGATCTCGCAGCTTTGGACTGCGACAACACCGACTTTTCCGCTGGCGCTACCTTGTCCGGCATCTTCCGTGCGTCGTGTTAAAAGTTCTTTTCGAAATCGGAGCACGCGCGTGTACGCGCGCGCGTGCGCGCGCGCAAGTGTCACGCACGTTTTCACGCGATTACTCGAAGGGCAACGGTTGCCGCGGTGTGCCGCGTGGGCACTACCGCGAGTGCATGCGATGCGGTTAACGGTGACATATGCGGACAAGGCGAAGGGAAAACGGAAACTAAGGAAGATAAACGAGAACGGAAAATGGATAAAGAACAGAAAAAGAAAGAAATTGCAAACGCACGCGGTCGCGTATCACCACGTGGCAAAAAGCGCCTCACGCGACGGATACACATATACACCTTACGTGCCGGGCCGCAATTGCCGAACTGCCGCTGCCGGCTGCCGCTCGTTTCTTATGACCGCGCTCGCCGGTACGCTCACCACCATCTCCTACCCTTTGACTTGATTCGCCGCTCCACGATCGAACTGACGCGACGCTAGCGGCTAGCGACGGCCGCGCGCGAACACGCGCGCCCATTGGCGCGGACACACTTATTCTGATAATTCGCGACAATCCTTTCTTCTTCGTGTCTCTGAAAATATCGACGACAAATCAAAAGCAAATGCGATAAAAATAAATGAAATGAAAAATCTATTCGAAAATTTCTTATTGTATCGATATTTCACGGACTTTCGTGCTTCACTAAAACAATGAATAATCTTAAAGCAATGTCAAAACTGATCGCATTAAAATTCAGCATTTTCTGCGGATGTAATTTCTTATTGTATTGATACTGCAGTTTCCTTGCTGTCGTTTAGAGAAATATAAACATTCAACAATGTCCATGTTCAGACTTTAGTTAGCAAGCAGTGCAAGTACTGCTCTGCATTTTCTCGACGTGAAAACACTCCAAGATGGTCAATGTAAGCAGCGCTTTTTTTCCAATTCCATCAGCGGAGTATTGACCGTTTCTACGCCACTGCGCCTACCTTAAACCTTATATCTTACGAGTGTCTCAATCCGTATTGCATCATGAATTTGCTGAAAAGCAGATCGCACACCTGCGAAAACAATAATTTTACGAGATGGACATGAATAAAAGCAATGTCTAATTTCATGTAAAATATGATATAAGCATATGTAATTCAATAACAATAATCGGATAAGAATTTCTGCAAAAAGATTATTATGTCAGGATTGTTGCGTCAAGATTGTTTGTTTCTCAAACTTGATAAAATTAATAAAATGTTAATGTTCATTCTTTGCATGGGCGTATCCAGGATTTTCTTTCGGGGCAAAGGGGGTTCTATTCTTTTATTACATAAACTCTTTTTCATTACGTAAACTTTTTATTACATAAATAGCAATTTTGTTATTCAATTGCTTTTTTTAAATATTTTAGAACTTATATGTCTCCTCGTTCCTGATTTCAAATAAAAAAAGTATTAAATTTTGTAAATCATACATACCTAACTTTTATTTTTTTTCCTGAACATAGTATAAGTAAAACACAGTTGCAACAATAAAAATAAAATGTATAATTTTTTAATATTGCTATTGTTATTATTATCAAATACAATAGTATTATAAAATTTGTACGTATAAAAGGGCCTATGGAAAAAAGGAATAAATAAGGTAAAATTCATTCAATAAAATTTTTAGAAAATTAAAAGATTATTTACATGGTCTTAACAAGAAAAAAATATTTCATGTAATGACAAAAAAACTTATACCAAATCAAAAGTAAAGTTGTATGTTATTATAATTAAAAATTTCGGTGGGTTTCAACTCCTTCCAAACTTCTCCCCTTTTACGCTCCCCCTTTATAATTTGTTTTAAATAGACGTTTTGCATTTTTATTATTCTTTCTTCTTCGACGTTTAATTATGCATTTTTCATTTTATATAGGGTACCCCTAAAATTTGACATCACTGAGCAGGTGGACTAAACTGAGTTACTAAAAATTGTTAAATATTGTTCTCCAATAATTTTTTACTCAAATACTATTAACTTTATAGAAAAATTGCAAAAGACAAAAATTATTTATTTTCTTCTCATAGAACTTTAAGAATTTTTTCAGAACTTTTTATCAACTTTATAGTACTGCATTTTCTTATTTACCACCATGAGAAAATACAATATTGAAAAATTCTGAAAAAATTCTCAGAAGTTTATAAGAAAAAAATAAACAATTTTTATCTCTTGCTGTTTTTTTGTAAAGTTGATAGTATTTGAGTAAAAAATTATTGAAAATTAATATTATTATCACATTTAGCGATGTTTAATCATTAATATCTCGTTAACCATTGCGAAAATTGCAAAATGATACAGGACTTTTCGGCTTAATTTAGTCTGCTCTACTTGCTCAGGATGGGTGATGCCGAATTTTAGGGACATCCTGTATATATGCAAAAAGAATGATGCACTAAAAAAATTTTTGGATGAAAATAGATAAACTAGAAAAATTCTGATCAATTGAAATTCTAATTATATCTCAACTAGAATTTTAATAAATTCAACCAGAAAATTCTGATTTGTCTATTTTTAATTAGAATTCCAATATAACCAGACTGCTTTTTCAAATCAACAGTGCAGTTAGAAATTATAGACTTTTTGATGACTACGTTTGTGTTATTTGCAACAATTCTCGCAATATATGTATATTTCTCGTTGAGTATAAAAAGGCACAAAAATTCTCATAATTGAAAAATTAGAAGTTCTAAATAAAATTCCTGAAAAATACATCAAGTAAAAATATATCAAGTACAAATATATCAAATAAAAAATTGATTAATGAGATTGTAAATTGTATACAATTATATATATTTCGTATAAAAAACTTTATCGTAATTAACGATACAATAGATATATAATACAAATGACATATATTTCGACTAATCTTTTAGCCATCAACATAGAGTGATCAGATGCATGTGAAGTAGGACATCCATCATGGAAAAGTAGTACACTACCATTTTTTTCACTGACGAACGCAAAAAAAAAGAAACGAAGAAGCAGATATTGTTTAATCTGAGACCTGTATTATTTTACATTCCTTTTAAACTTTTTTAAAATAACTTTATGTAAAAAATTTCTAAATTTAAAATGAGATAGATAAAAGAAAAAGCGAAAATGTTGAGTGCAAAAAGTTGAATACAATCAACACGAATAAACCTAATGTCTAATTAGCATCTTAATAGCAAACCCTGCGGAAACAGATAGCAAGCTCTGCTACCAATTTTTTAATTGCAGAAAGACAACAAATTGTATACAGAGTTTGTATTATCTGATATTCTGTCAGCAAATTGCTATCAGAAATATAACAAGGCGTGCTAAACTTGCTTTGCCAGCAGATTGGTAACAGAAATCGAACAAAGTCCTGCAACTTGACGGCAGATTGAGAGCAGAACCTAGATTCAAGTAAACTCTGTTCGATTTCTGCCATTAATCTGTTGGCATAGCCTGTCAGCAGGCTTTGTCGACAATCTACAGCCAAATGCGGACACAGATGGCTATGGTTTTGTAGTCAAAATCTGATCGAGTTTGCTGTCAATTTGGCCCCAAATTGTTAACATTTTCCTATCAGGACATCTTATGTAAATCAATATGGCCATTTTATGCTGGATACTCATTAATTTAGCGATATCAATGTCTTATTCCATGCTTATCCTGTACTATGTGTTAATATATTTCATGTGTGACAGTGTCACAGTGACTTAATAACTTTCGATCCCCTCGTTTGCTCCCAAGTCCCAAAAGTAGTAGGAAAAGAATACACATTAAAAATCCATCTGAACGCCTCCGGACGCCCGAAAAAAAGAGTACATTCGAGAAAAAAAGTATGGATGGTCACCCTACATCAACAATATATAAAATATAAAATTGCAACTTAAGAATTAAAAAAAACTTATAACAAACTTGTAATTATATACCTACATATATCGTAGGCACAAATTGAATCAGATTAAAAGTTTATACAAAGTAACAAGTGTTGTGGAGTCAAACAGTTGCCTTGTCAGAGTTTAAATTCTGACATGGCAACTGTCTGACACATCTATTTACTTAATATAAATTTCTAATT